AAAAAAAAAAAAAGTATTTATATAAAGTGTATGCACCTTTTTTGAAAATGTAACTTTTTTTAGCACCTTTTTCATTGATTTTTAGATATCATTACTGTTACAGTTTTCTCAGTTTTAGCGGTTGTGAAACATGCCTTTGAATATTTTATGAATCTTTATAACAGTTAACTCCATGTAGATGAGCATAGGCATTGTTTTTAATCTTTTTATGCCACAAACATATTTGAGTGTATGGGGTTTTTTTTGTTGTTGTTTTGGGCGGAAACCAGGGATTGAACTCAGGCCCTTGTGCTTGCCAGGGAAGCACTTATTCCACTGAGCCATCTCCCTGGCCCATGGATGTATGTTCTTTGTATACCTATATTCACATAGCTATGAGATAAATCCCTACAAATGGAATTGGGAAGTCAGATAAAGGGCATTTGTTTTGATAGACATTTCCAGAATACCCACCAGAAGATGAAGTATTTACACTTGCTTCAACAACTTTAACTACAGGAGAAGGCCTGTCTTTCCAATGCCCATTATTTACACTCCTTCAAGGCCCAGAATATCAGGTGCAAGCAACCTAAGCCTGGAAGGTTCCTAACAAGCATGAAATGAGAGCTAAGGCAGCTGCACAGCCCCAGGGACTTCAGACCAACCTGGCTCACCAGGTGCTGCTCTTGGACCAGCCCAGGCCCCCTTTAAAAAAAAAGTATGTGTTTTCAGTAGATGCAATTTATGATCATCTTGGGGGAGCTGGTACAAGGACACAATAGAGATTGATTTTTTAATCCTTTCCCTTCCCACATACCTCCCTCCCCCTTTTAATCTTTCTCCATTTTCATCCTTGTTGATATTATTTTTATCTCATGTTTATGATGTAGTGCTTATATTCATTGAGGTCTTTAGGTCCTGTACCTGGCATGTCTTTATTCTATTTATTTCCCCTTCCTCTCTCCCTGTCCCCTTGCCCTCAGTCTCCTAGACACTTTCCCAAATGCTGCAGATCTGTCCCCTTGTCTCCTTCTATCCATCCTTCACTGTGCTCTTTGTTTGTACTTTGCCTTACCAAATGAGAATCAACACACAGATTTAAGTTTATAACATGTTTTTTAACCAAGTACAATAAAAAAAAAAAAAAACAACAGTGCTCAATACAGTTGAATCTTTCAAGATTCTTAGTAGCCCCTTTCAGCATGTCTTTATCATTATATTTTCATTCTTTCATCGCATACAATTCTGTACAGGTTATTCAGTTGTATACAACTTTTCAAATTTTTTACTATGTTTTAGTTTTCTTTATGACAGTTACATATAAAGGTATGGTTCCTTCCAAAATAAAAACAGGATTACTTCTAACCGTATTTCCTAAAAACAGCTAACTCCATCGGTAGTTTGGAAGTTTGTACTCAGAGGTAGCACTTCTGGCTTAAGAGCTTGGCTTTTCTTGTTACTTATTTCAGTTCTTATTTTAAATTCCTGGGCTCATCTGAGTTAGGTCAATAGTCCTCTCTGCCCTGATTACCTCTGGTTGATCTATAAATTACTGTAAAGTGTTTTGGAAATAGAACACTCAATATAAGCTCTCCGCAATTGTCCATTCCTAGATTTTGTAATGTACCACTAATGAGTCATGAGTTAGAATATATTGACTTATATGGTCAGCAGCTAGCAAATATTGGTAAGTGTGAAGTATTGGGTTGTGCTTTGTTTTTAAAAATACCTTGAGCTTGTGGTGGCACAGGCCTATAATCCCAGCACCATGGGAGACAGAGGCAGAAGGACTGAAAAATTCTAGCCTAGTGATGGCAACCTTTTAGAGCTTTCAGTGATACAAACAGCTCCCTGCAGCATGCTTGCCGTATGTTCGCCTCCACGGCTCTAGCCCCCCTGTGCAGCTTAGGGACTTACTGAGACCCTGTCTCGGAAGAGGGGAAAATAAAGAATACTGGAGAGGTGGCTTCATGAAAAGGCCCTAGATTCAATCCCCATTACAAGGTGTTTAGTCCTCTGACAGCGAATACAAACAAAAAACCTCTTGGAAAGTATGCTGTTCTGAATGATTTTATTTTAACTATCTGATACTTCCATGTGATTCTGTAATTTGGCCTCTAATTATTTGCTAAGTCATTTTTTGTTGTCCTCTGTTTTGATATCTGTCTGCTATTGAAAGAAATAAAAAGAAGTGAGAGTAATTACCAACAGCTTGCATTATGAGAATATGCTACATATTTTATAATTCTGGAAGGCCAGTATAATTGGAGGGAAGCAGCAGTAAGGTTAGACAAATGCTATTAGAAATCAGTGGGCACTTATTTTTTTTACCCCTTTGACAGTGTCATAGATAGGAATAAATGTAGTCAGTTATGGTAAATTCTAGAGATTTGATGTGTTCTGTGAATCTATGAATATTACATGACAGATTTAATATAATTGCCTTACCCTGTGCAATTCTAAAACAGAAGTGTTTTCTTAGCAAATGTTTTATTAAAAGCATTCTCCAAGGGCTGCAAGTGTGGCCCGGTGGTGAAGCATTGCCTGTGCACAAGGCCCTGGGTTTAATCCACAGCACCAGAAGAAAAACAGATCTTTTCCTTGTCACCTTAAATGTAAAGTCTAATTATTATGAGTGGGTATAAGATACTTATTAGGGAGTAGGTATGTGTTTTATGTTTCTGAATAGAGTGTCATCTCACTCATTGGTCCTATTTTCACTTTTTTTTTTATTTAAGGTTTTGTTTTTTTGTTTTTTTGTTTTTTTTTCTCCGAATGCCTTCAGGGCAGGTTTGGCTGACTTGAGTTGTGGGGATCAAACCACAGCAACCTAAGCCTGACTGCTTTGTTGAAGCAGCCACTTAAAGAACTGAGCTAAGGGG